GATTGTGACCATTGAAATCACCGAGTAACAGGAACAGAGTTGGCAGCTGTTCAACTAATGCGTCCAAATCATCCTCATTGGCTCTGACATCTGGTGGCAAGTATATAGAACAAACTGTGACAGTTACGCCAATTGAAATTTTGACTGCCACAGCTTGCAAATCAGTGGTTATTTGTATCAGTAAGGATGGGATGTAATTTGAAATCAGAATAGCCACACCCCCACTGGCACAATTGTGGCTATCTTCATCTTTGCGATAAAGGTTGAATCTTTCTAAAGAAATATTTTCTCCAGCTTTTAGATGGGTTTCCTGGAGTGCCACACAGAAAGATGAGGTAGATGATGTCAAGTGTTTAATGTCAGAGAAGTTGTTGCAGAAACCAAGACAGTTCCATTGGATTATTTTATAATCAATTATGTGTTTGAGGCAGCATTTTTTGCGAGGGTATCCCTCTTTAGTTTAACAGGCGGTTTCTCTTTTGAAGGTGACTTTGGTTTTGAAACCTCCATATAAGGCTCTTCATCAGATATGTCAGAAAACTCATTCATAGATTGAGCTTCTGATTTTTTTGAGACTTTAGAGAGGGCTGCTTTCACTCTTTGTTTGTTAAGTGGGTTCTTACTGGGTTTTTTAGAACCCACATTTCTGGTTGTTACTCCCATTTTAGTTACAGAGGTTTTGGTCTTTGTGTTCTCCTTTTCTTCTGATTGTGCAGATGGAATCAATAAGCATTTTGCATGGCGAGTAAGAGATTCACTTGGGGATACAGAAATATCTGTTTGAACCCCACATGTCTTGGTAGATTTCAACACAGCAGCAAAGGTTTTTTGTTTTGTTGGTAAACTTTGGGTGACCATACGACGGGCCTCTGTGTATGATATATTATTTATGGTTTTTAATCGTTGAACCTCTTTTTCTCTCTGCCATGCAGGGCATTTCCGAGAGTAGGAAGGATGGGTGTCTCTACAGTTCACACAGCATGGGGTACTTTTACATTCAGTACTAACGTGGTCTTCACTCCCACACTGTGCGCATACGCTTTTGCCTCGGCAGGATGTCTGTGAATGTCCAAACCGCTGGCATTTGAAGCAGCGCAGCGGATTTGGAACGTAGGGGCGGACTGGACAGCGCAGATATCCTGCAGTAATGAAAGATGGCAATGTCGATTTGTTAAACGTTAAAATTAAGTGTTTGGTAGCAATTAACTTGCCATCTCGACGAATGGAGATGCGTCGAACGGCAGTTACACCTTGATCAGCAAGGCCGATCTGAATATCTGATTCATCCTCAGACATCAGATCGATCTCTGATATCACACCACGTGATGAGTTTAGACTTCCATGTGGGGTGACAGTTACCTCTATATCTCCAAGTGTCTTAATTGCCAAAAGTTTTGCAGATTGTTGAGGTGAGGTTGTTTCTAGAAGCAGATCTCCTGACCTCAATTTTTGTATTTTTTTCAAATTTCCAACTGTAGATTCAAACAGTTTCTGGATCAGAAAAGGAGAACATTTTGATAGAGGTGTTTGTCCAGTAGCATGGACTATGAAGTAGGTTGGCTGACTGGAAATGATTTGTTTCTTTGTAGCATTGTCTGTAGTTTTGGTTTTTTGATGATCCATGATTATGTAATATTAATTCAGCTCCCAGTGACCCCACCCTCCATGGGGCCCAACAAGGGGATGCCGTCACATGAGAGATTCCCATAGACCGTCACACCAGGGTTTCCCAGGAGCTATACCCTCACAATGCAGTCAAGAAGAGCACATCTAGACTGATGTGTCCGCCCGGTCTGCATCGATCAGTTGACTCCAAGTCGAGGTCAAGAACGACTCAACGACCAGCCGATTGACTCAAACGGAGCCTGATTTGAGCCTCCCGTTTATCCAAAGCAGGGGCCAAAGCAGTGTGTTGGGGACGTTATGTTGCCCCTCAACTACCAGGATTCCCCTTTCCGGCATACAGGATACCACGCACGGCAAACACGTGGGTGGGCGTTCAGATCCCAGGGATGGTAAAGAAGAGTTTCTAGACCATCTTTGGGAGGTCCCCTCACCACGGACAGGAACCCACATCGAGGGGTTTACATTAGGTCTATGCTTTTTATGTCAGAGTATCTGCATTTACAAATTAACAGAATTTTCAGTTTTTATACACATTATTATGCTATAATATAGGAAACTATGTTTAATACATAATACCTACTACAGAAAGGGTAATAAAGGAACGTCAGCCATTGTAAATAATGTATTATTGAAAGTTTTATTCATATAGATAATTAATTTTATGAAGAAACATTTCTCCAGAAGAAAATTGTCGATATTTCACGTAAATATAAGTCAATTTTATTATAATTTACATAAAAATACATTTTTTTTTACCACGCATGACTTCTCCCCCCATTTTACTCTTAAAACATTCTATTTCATAATAATTTGTATTCACAATGCAAATGAGCCCCTGAATAAAGCTTAAGTAACTCATTTGCATAACGTGTCGAGGGCAGCGACAGTATATAAAGCTGTTGCTGAAGTGCTGTATTAATCCATTCATCATGCCAAAAGCTATCAGTAAGAATATTCATTTGTTGATCATACGACATCATGAAGAAAGATGTAGTTACGAAGAAATCGCCGATATGCTGAATGTATCAACACGAGCTGTGTCGCGCATTCTTAAGCTGTACCAAGACAAAGGTTCTGTGTCGCCGGAAAAGGCAAAGGGGCAACAGCGAGGGACGACGCCCGTTTAAAGGCCGCTAGTGAGGCCAGGCCTTTTTCCACTGCGTCGATGTTGAAAAGAGAATTGAACCTTAGCGTATCTGCAGCTACGGTAAAACGGAGGTATGTAACATTTTTAGTATAATACTACAACCTTCCAACGAAATGTATTTCTGGCAATTCATTATATCGGTAAATATAATTTTATTAACGTGTTCTTGCATATACAGAAATGTAGGAAGCAGGATAATATATATATATGTTTTTTACTGTATTCATAGGTTGCGACAGTTCGAGCTTTATGGAAGGAGGGCAGCCAAAAAACAATGGCTCACAGTCGCCAACCAACAAGATCGGCTGAGGTTCGCCCGAACTTATTGCAGTTGGGGAGTGGCCGACTGGGCAAATGTCATCTTCACTGACGAGAAAGTATTCTGCTCATCGAGCTGCGAGACCGTGTGGGTGCGTCGCCGACCCGGCACCCGGTTTGACCCGGAGCACGTGTGGTGTACCCAAAGAAGCGGTCGCTTTTCCTTAGGTGAGTTTTTAAATCTCGTGTATTTATGTCATTAACGCTTTGAACATGACATATTGGCATGTTCATTTTATTAATCAACTTTATTCACGTTTTCTATAGGTGTTTGGGGATGGATGACAGCAGCAGGTCCCAGGGAGTTGCTGCATATAGACGGTCACCTCACCGCCGTGCAGTATATCGAGATACTCGAAGAGGTATTCTTGCCGACAGCGAGGGCCGTCTATGGTGAAGATCCAATTCACTTCGTACACGGCCAAAGTAACTCAACAGTGGCTGCAGAAGAATCCACAGCTCTTAGATATGGGATGGCCAGGGAGAGGGGCAGACCTAAATCCTATTGAACACCTTTGGTCTGAGATCACCAACGAACCCATTCAGGCGGCGACTCCGAACGAGCTCTGGGAAATTGTCAGAGCTCGTTGGGAGAAGCTTCGTGAGGGCATACTATGCAACAATCTTGTGGAAAGTATGCCCAAGCGACTGAATATGGTCATTGACAGGCTCGGAAAGTGGACTAAGTACTGACCCTCTCCCCTCCATCTGTGATGTCTTGACAGACTAAGAATGTCTTGTAAATAAGTCTTGTAAATAAATTTCTTTCTATTTTCAGATGTCTTTTTAAGTCTCCAAATTTTTTTCAAAAATTTTCCTGCACAAAAAAAATTTATCGCGATTTTAATCAAAATTTCATCAAAAAATGACTCACGATTAAAGCTTAATTGTTTGTTTTTTTTAATCAAATTTCATTCATTGTTCAAAAATTCTAGTGCTTCGGTACAGTTATTTAAAGATACTTTCTGATGTCAAAAACGGTCTTCAATAGTTTAATTTTTTTTTTAAATAATAGATTTTATTATATGTTTTTAAATTTGGCAAAATTGATTTCTAACTGGCAGCTTTTCTTCTGCATAGCCAACTTTACAGGGGCCTGCAACGGTGGCTTTTCTGCATAAACTTCCTGTCGTGCAAAAAAGATGCCATTTGTCGGTTAGCTTTAAAAATAATTTAAAAACAAAAACATTACAAAACATAATGAAAATTAAATTTATCGATATAAAAACATATTTTAAATGATTACAGATAATATTGTATTTTATAATTGTTTTTCATTATTATTTATACCATTTTTGCAGTGATCATATCGCATTATTATTTACATTTGGAATATAAAGTTATTCATTTGCACATAAATAACAAGTAAATTAAAATAAAAATCACATAATTTGGAATAAGAATATATATTTAAATATTATTTACAGTTAAAATAAAGGTTTCAAAAAATACCGTAACATAATGACGAAAAAACTTTCTGATGTAATAAAACGTAAATTTTGGTTAGTACTTTTCCACTGTGTGGTAGATTTTAAAGCATAATGCTGCACAGAAAAACACATCACAAGCTTGGCAATAATACCTGGTTTTCGGTTGGTTGGTTGGTTAGTTAATTTTTATTAACACAAAACCCATGCAGGCTATACTGCGCCACGACAAATGGTATGATTGGGTGTATAAAATAAATAAGAAAACACATATATACAAAACAGTTTAACCATTAAAAAGCCAATAATAGTATATATATAAAATCTAAAATATAATAAATAAATAAATAAACAACAACAAAAAATAAATAAATAAACAACAGAAAATATATACAGTAATTTAAATATGCACCATTAAGTAAATAAAACTATACAATAAATAAATCATCATATTTCTCTATACATATTAATGACTTTCAGAAAGTCCAGTATATTATCCAGGTTTGGCCTCTGGCCCAAAATGTCTCTAAAGCTTGCATTTCCGAAATGCTGTCTACGACTCTGATCAAAAGCAACACAGTTGCAAAATATGTGTTTAACACTTACAGCACAGTTGCAGTGCTGACATACTGGTTCGTCATCTCCCTTCAAAAGGTATTGATGAGTCAGTCGAGTGTGTCCAATTCTCAAACGAGTAAGGATAACCTCAGATCTCCTATCATATTGCCTATTATGTGTCCAATTTTCTACCAAAGGTTTGATCTCGTGAAGTTTATTGTGGATTTGTGCATTCCACACGTTTTGCCATCTCTCTGCTAGTCGTTTTTTAACGACTAGCTTCAAATCACCTCCTTCAATACGCATTGTATGCTGTGAAGGACTTGCTGACTTAGCAGCTGTATCAGCTTCTTCATTACCTCTTATACCCACGTGGCCTGGGACCCAACAGAACTTCACAAAAAAATTTCTCGTAGTGAGATGACAAATTAGTTTTCGAATTTTAATAACTATGGAGTGAGAACTACGTTCATACGAGATCAAAGCCTGAAGTGCACTAACTGAGTCAGTGTAAATCACGCAGCAACGATGACCTTTCCGATTTATATACTTTAAGGCTAAATAAATAGCCTGCAACTCCGCAGAAAAGATGGAAGAATTCGGTGCTATTTGTTCTGCCACAATTTCATCCTGGCAAACAAAGGCTAAGCCAACATAGTTATCCGATTTAGATCCATCGGTGTATATAGGAATTAAATTCCTGTTACGATGCTGAATTTCTGCGAAGTGCTGTCTATAGACGTAGTCTGGCGTGGTTTCTTTAGGGAACTGCTTTAAGCTTAAATCAACATCAATCGGTGAAGTTGACCAAGGTGAAATACTATTAACCTCAACATGTGAGATGTTGCTTGTGTCTAGGTCAATCGTGCTGCTTACATTCTCCATTCTTATGTCGAATGTAGGGACACAACTCGTCCGAGCGGCAAATAATCTTTTCAGCTGAGTATCTGGACAATCAGCTGTAAGTTTTTTCTGAGATTTTTGTTTAATGTAATAAAAAAGAGACAACTGTTCTCTCCTGAGAGATAGTGAAGGCTCATACGCATCCACATACAAACTTTGAACAGGGGAAGTTCGAAATGCACCGATGCACAAACGCAAAGCTTGATAGTGGATGGGATCCAGCATCCAAAGAGTAGATTCTCGCGCAGAGCCATACACAACACACCTGTAGTCCAGCTTAGAACAAACAAGGGCCCTATAAATCCTGAGCATAGAACATTTGTCTGCTCCCCAAAATGAGCAGAATAATATCTTTAGAAGTTTCAGAGATTTTAAGCATCTACTCTTCAGATTGCACAAGTGTAACAAAAATGTCAGTTTTTGGTCAAAACAAACACCCAAAAACTTAGCTTCATTCACCATTGGAATTTTATCCCCATTTAGGTAAATTTCCGGATCCAAGTGCAAACCACGTGTTCGGCAAAAGTGGATGCATGATGTCTTCGCTGCGTTAAATGTAAAGCCATTGGTCTTGGACCAATCATATATGCGGTTTAGGGAGGTTTGCAGTTGTCTCTCGATAAAACTCATATTACTAGACTGGCAGGAGATCTGAGAGTCATCCACATACAAAGAGTGTTTCACACTAGAAGAAAGACAGTTAGCTATGCTATTAATTTTAATTAGGAACAGAGTCACACTCAAAATAGAGCCTTGAGGAACACCTTCTTCTTGCGTGAAAGGCCTAGATAAAGTGTTGCCCATCCTGACTTGGAATCTGCGATTCTCTATGAAGTTTTTTATAAAAATTAAAATTACCCCGCAATCCAAAATGGTCCAGATCACGGAGTATCCCATATCGCCAACAGCAATCATAGGCCTTCTCCATATCAAAAAACACAGACACTAAGTGCTGTCGTCTAACAAA